TATATATATATATATATATATGAATGTAGGAATGCCGGGAGATCCATGTGCTAAAGACACTATGACAAGAAGCATTAAGGCTCCTAATTCTATTCCCTTCCTTACTGCCAGCACTTATCATGGTGACCCCTGGGATGCTTCTCTTTGATTCAGATGTAAAAAGGATCTAAAAATTACAGGACATCTGACCTTGTGGACTAAAGCTAAAGACCCTTGTCCTATGGGCTGTACAGATGCACAGTGCTACAAGCATACATCTTTGACACTGATTTAGACAAAGGGGCATAAAAAGTAGAGCCTATGGCAAATCAAGGAAGTATTTATGAAGTGGTTCCTGAAGAGTAAGTCACAGTTATATCAGTAGCCTGTTGTTGGTGTTAGCCTGTGCTATATTATGAACAACCATCTTTGTGACAAACAACCAATACAAGTTACAAAATCTTTTACTCATAACTCTCTATCTGCATTTTTTAAATAAAAAAACTATAAATACCTTTTCAATGTGGCTGGGACATTCATTTCAATTCAACTCAATTCAGTTTATTTCTCAAGGACAAAATTCACATCATCCAAGGCACTCTCATGGGACTTTACAGACAATTCAACCAGATCATATGTCAGATAGGTTTAAAGTTTTCTATCTAAGGAAAACCAGGTGATTGCTTTGACTCACTGACTCTTCCGCAATCCCTCACTACAAGCATGCTTGTAGTGACAGTAGAAAATAAATCTCCCTTTTAACAGACAATCTATATTGTCTTAAAAAAAGTTAAAGAAGCTAAAGGGTCTCTGACTTATGAATTGTTACTTTAGGAAGGATCAGAAAACAAAAAGGTTAAGAATCTGTCATCTCTCTTCGTCCTCTGACGTGGGGGCTGACTCAGAGCTTATCTGACTGGCTGTGTGTTTCCTGGACGGGACTGTCTGTGGAGTTGGTAGACAGTTGCCTTCTGTATCTCTGCTTCTTTCTGTATGTCTGCTTCTGTGTTATTGAACCCCAGTCAGCCTTGGCAGATAGCCACTCATGCTGAGCCTGGATCTGGTGGAGGTTTCTTCCTGTGTAAAAAGGAGTATTCCTCTCCACTGTCGCTATAAGCATGCTTGGTGTGAAGGTGCCTTTGAAATAATGAGTTGATGCAATCAACTGGTTTTCCTCAAATAGAAAACTTTGAATCAATTTGACTGTAGGATCTGGTTGAATTGTAAAGTGCCTTGAGATGATGTCCTGTAAATTAGCGTTATATAATAATAAACTGAATTTTATTGAATTCAAAGGTTATTCATTTCAAAGGTTATTCATTTCAAAATATGTTAATAAAACATTGTCTTACACTTCCTCTCTTGGATTTTCATTGTGAATTGGTTTGAGAGCATTCCAATTGTTCTAAACTAGTTAAAAACAAATTTAACTTCATTCCAAACTTTTGAAGAAATACTCAACTCAATGTTCTCAAATATAAAATCCAAGCCATATTTTTATAACATGTATAATTTGATTGATTTTGGTTTTCAGCCAATTCGTGTCTTTCTTTAGGTCCCCATACTTTCTCTACCCCTGCAGTAGATTCTTTCATACCTGAGATCTTTCAATTTCCATTGTGGATTCTTTTGTCCGGCCAAAAGCAGTTCCACTCCAGAGTCTCCGGGATAATTGTAGCTCAGGTCCAACTCATTGAGATAGTTGGGATTGTGGTGTAGAGCAGATTCCAGAGAAGCACACCCTTCCTCTGAGATTAGACAGCCTGACAATCTGTGGACATAAAGTTCAGCACAAGTGATGTGAGCATCAGAAGGTTGAGGTAGAACCTGAATTCTATAATATTAATTTTAGGGGGGAACTGAAAACAAATAAGTCATAAACATGTACAGAAAAATATGAAGAAAACTGTATTTTGTTCCATAGATAAATGTAACATTCGAACTGACATGGAAACTGACATGTACTGAAATAAAATCTTCCTTCAATCAAAAACCCCTTAAACCAAAATCAATAAAATAACATTTATTTATTTTACAGCAGATAATGGACACCATTGATGTTAAAACAAGACTAGGAAGATTGTACCTGAGGGTTTCAAGTCTGCAGTTTGGATTCTTCAGTCCAGCTGATAGAAACCTTACTCCTAAATCTCCCAGATTATTGTTACTCAGATCTAGTTCTCGGAGTCTGGAGGACTTGAGGCTAAGAACTGAACGCAGAGCCTCACAGCAGCTCTCTGAGAGATTACAGTCTTTCAGTCTGAGGGGACAATATAAGAAAATGTTGTTTAAAACATCCATCCATTCATCAGTCCATCCATCATCCATTCATCATCAATCCTTCCATTTTCCATCCGTCATCCATCCATCCATCCATCAACTAACCATCCAACCATCCATCCATCCATCCATCAACTAACCATCCAACCATCCATCCATCAACTAACCATCCATCCATCCATCCATCCATCCATCCATCAACTAACCATCCATCCATCCATCCATCAACTAACCATCCATCCATCCATCCATCAACTAACCATCCAACCATCCATCCATCCATCCATCAACTAACCATCCAACCATCCATCCATCCATCCATCCATCCATCCATCCATCCATCCATATACATTCATAGCAGCGTCAATTAAATGCTAGTTTTTGTATATGTTTCTCTACCTCTTTAGCACAGTCTCTACTACATCATGACTGATGTTCAGGTAAGAGCGGTATTACCGTTTGAGGTCCACAAAGTACCTTTAATGTGATGCATTTGTGTCACAATGCCCTGCAGGCCTTATGTGCCCTGCAAGGAAACTTTTCTGGTCCTTGTGACATATCCATTTCCATTGCGTTTTAGAGGTATTTATGCTATTTTGCATGCATATTTAAGAGTATAGATTTAAGACATAGATTTAAAATGTATTAAAATAATTAGACACAGAATTAACATTTATTTTTAGCGTGTGCTTCTAAATACAAGAACAAATAACCTAAATTATATAAGTGTTGTGAAAAGAGAAATGTGGCAGTAGACTTTTATTTTCTAGATTCTGTGTAGCATAATTTGTTTGTTTTTTACATGAAATGTGTAAAAAATAAAAATTTTTACACATTTCATGTAAAAAAAAAAAACATGAAATGTGTAAGAAAAACATGAGATGTGTAAAAAATATTTTACCCTTGTAATTTTACATAACACAGGTAAAAAAAGAGAGAAAAACTGGGCAGATTAAAAAAAACAGAAATTTGGAAAAACAGAAAATATCAAGGGAGTAAAATCTAAGATACAAAACAAGACTTACTGACCGAAGTTAAAGATTACATAATGTTTCATCTCCCAAATAGATGATCTAGACTCCAATCTACAGATTCCATCCTCACCATTTGTAAAACAAGTGAGCATGTGCAAAGTCAATTTTTAAGATGAAAGTGAACAAGCATGGATGTTCTGTGCTGCTGTAAGTAAGTCCTGAGACTTTTTTATCAATTATCAATAGGCGCATTATTTTCATAAAGGAGCAGAATTGAAAACCTTGTACCTGATGGTTTCCAGTTTGCAGTTTTTATTTTCCAGTCCAGCAGAAAGAAGCTCCACTCCTGAATCTGGCAGGTTGTTGTTACTCAGGTCCAGTTCTCTCAGACTGGTGGACTGACATTTTAAAACCGAAGACAGAGCATCACAGCTTCTTTCTGACAGGTTACAATCTCTCAGCCTTGGGAGACAGAAAAATCTGGAATTAAACATTTAATCAAAACATTTCTATTTATTTAAATCAGTAGTCAACACTTTTCCAAAGACGGATGACCTTTTTAACCTGTCATGACACAAGTTGAATGTTTATACCATACTTTGGAGATTTGTCACTAGCAGAAAAATGCCATATGTGTCCTTACAGAGCTTTAATGGATGCTTTAACCACTGGTAGCAGTCTCAGAAGAACCTCCTCTGAAGCAGAGAATTTCTTGAGATCAAATTCATCCAGATCTTCCCCTGAGGACACTAAGACAAAAGCCAGAGCTGACCACTGTGCTGGAGACAGTTTATCTGTGGAGAGCCTCCCTGAACTCAGAAACTGATGGATCTCCTGAACCAGAGAATGATCCTTTAGTTCATTCAAACAATGGAATAGCTTAATGTTGTTCTCTGCAGACACATTCTCATTGATCTTCTCCTTGATGTACCGGACTGTTTCATAGTGGGTCTCTGAAACCCTTCCGGTCTGATTCAGCAGACCTTCTAGAAGTCGCTGATTGGTCTGTAGTGAAAGTCCCAAGAGGAAGCGTACTAACAGGTCCAGGTGTCCATTTGGACTCTGTAAGGCTTCATCTACAGCCCTCTGGTGGAGAAGCTTTAGTTTAGGCTTCTTGAAGGGTGGATTCCTTTTAGGTGTGTTCTGCTTTACTTTCATCAGATTGACACCAGTGTAAATGAAGGTCCTATGGACATGAAGAGCAGCCAAAAACTCCTGAACAGTCAAATGGACGAAACAGAACACCTTGTCCAGGTACAGTCCTCTCTCCTCTTTAAAGATCTGTGTTAAAACTCCAGAGTAAAATGAGGCTGATCTGATATCGATGCCACACTCTGTCAGG